TTTCGGGTGGGCTGCGGGCCTGGTTCGGTTACGGTCTGGCTGCGGTTTCTGTTACGCGTCGCGTTGGTTGCCGTTACAGCGGCAGAAACCGAGTTTCCGTTAAGGTCGAAATGGTTCCCGTTACACTCCGCACCCCTGACACGGACCAACGGGGTTTGTGACGGGAACCAGTCCAGGACGTAACAGGAACCAGAGTTTCGGTTCTGGTTTTATCATTGTCGTATCCAAGTTGTAAGGATGCGGTGACAAGGACTTTGGGAAAACCTGAAGTATAGAGGACACTCGGGGCTCTGGGTCGAGACATCTTGCGGCTTTGGCTGTAACAGGCACCGCCGCCCCCCGCCCCCCCCCCGTCTATCCCAGCAAATTGTAAGATGCAACGCAGTTGCTCTGTGAGCGACGGACTTTCAATATGTTTAAAGTCCGTCAGAAGTCCTGGAAATCATGCGTCTAGTCAACGAGATGCTCCCACCAAATAACGGGATGACGGTTTTTGTGTTTCAATGCCAATATGTTGGACAACGAGATTCAACGCCAGACTGAAGTGCTGTAAACCGAGATAACTTAGATTGTTCAGTTGTTGCACCAGGGATTCGAATATGCATGGCAGATATGGCAATCAAGCACCCCATTGACGGGTTCATGCTAAAGCTCAAATACTTAGCAATATTCTGATCCCACCTTCCGCTACTCATGATGATGACGGTGATGGTGGGTTCTTGGTGTTTTGATGATAAAGGTGATGCGGATGATGTTGGGTGCGATGATGAAAAGAAGGGGTAAGCCTGACTAGACCCTAAGGCAGTTCTGGAATTAGGGTGACCGCCGGCCGGTCACCTGAATTTCATACCTCAATTTCAGAATCATTGGGTTGTACTGTAGGTTTGCGAAAGTAATTCTGAACTTAAGGTGACCGTCGACCGGTCGCAATAATTTCATAATTATCGGGTTATATCGGGTTGATGATGGTTCGCGCTTACGACCGCCTGCGGTTTCCGTTATGGCCCCTGGCGGTTCTCGTTACCCCCGTGCGCGCTTCCTGTTACGCCCGGGCCGGTTCCAGTCACAAAGTTTCCGTTACGCCACGGGCCGGTTCCCATTACAACTGTCACCGCACCTACAAGAAAAATGAACAAGCATCAAGAACAAAATGAGGGCCCGCATCAAACGAACGAAGTCCCCCAAGCTAGACACATAGAAAAACTCGAGGAGTCACAACATTTCAAACCAAATTAGAAAGAAGCCTGGGAGGTTAAACGCAGACTGTATGGGTAGTTCCCGAAATGAGGGTGTCTTTTGATATCGTACTAGGTGCCGCAATAATGTAGCCTATAACCAGAACGGGCCCATAATTTTAAGAACATATTATGGCAACCGTAGAAATTGAAACGGTTGCAGCTTCTGAAAGCTTGAACTGCAATAAACTATCGCATTTCACAAGTCCTGGCCTTGGGATCATGCGCTTTACAATGCTTTACAGCATTTGCGGGGGTTGAACATTTGGATTACAGGCGGGGCTCGCTTTCTAACTGTGGCGGTCACTTTTTTTGGTTTACACCTGGGCCTTTTCAAGAGTGCGACATGAAGACAAACAGAGATGCGGCCAGGATGACACTCAACTCATCGAGGTCCTCGCAAATACTAAGGCTAAAGCAAAAGAGGCTTGCTCTTTATGGCGATAGCTCCAGAATGCCGCAGAGCAGGATGCCCATTTCTGGCAGGTAGAAGCAAAGCTTAGCGAAGCCAAGCAGAGGCCAGGTCGTTGACTGGGCACATGAATACGATTGAATACGGACACAGCCCTTCTTGCACAGAAAGGACAGTGGAGATTGACGAAAAACGGGAGCAGTCTAGCGCTTGAATGGTCCACGAAACCATCAGTGCTCTAACATGGAAAGAAGCCTTTGTGAGGTTCCGGCCTGTGGCAACCAGGGGGAGCCTGATGTCCCTAGCAAGCTTTGGAGTGAACGTGACACGCATCTTTCCAGTGGCCTTCCTTGCATGCCTGCTGCAACCGCTCCCGCAGTTAGAAAACGCAGAAAGATAAGGTACTTCAACATGTTGGAGCCTAAGCCCGTGCTGACCTTCTGACAGCAGTGGACAACATCAGCTAGGAGTTTGGAAAGCCAGCACGAAGGACTGACATGATCCTCGTCAACAACCCCATCACACTGCAGTGCTGCCCCGATTGGTACGGTCAATTGGCCAGCGTTGCTTGCATTGCCTATCCGGCTGGTTGAGGCCGAGCGGCTGGATGTACAACTGCTCCCTAGATCAATTCTTGGAGCGGCTTCTTGGCCAGTATGGACGCGAAGTTCTCTCTGCGTGATCCGTGGAAAAGCCAGCTTCACCCAAGCTAAGCTTCGACTTCTCGATCAAGAACTCCGACAAAGTCCAACCAACGCTACCTGCCCAGACATAGTCAAGCTAGCAAGAAGATGTCTTGGCCCTCTCGGCATGCATGCTGGCAGCAATCTGATTCAAACTGTGCCCTTGTCCAGGTCAAAGAGGGTGGATCGCATCATCGACTCCCTCACATACAAGGTGCCTGACGATTCGCGTTTTGATTGGAAGATTGGCTCCAGCCTTCCTGATGCTAGCGCATAGGGGAATCCCTATCCTCATGGGTCCAGTAGGAAAGACCCCTGCGTATTTCTTGAGGAGCTTTTGCTCGTCACCCGGTGCCCACTAGTGGTATGGAAACCACAATACTCGTAGTAGTGAAAGAATGTCACGTCATGTCATGGTGTTAAAACCATGAATACTTCCAACAGCAAGCAGACAGTAACAAGCACAAAAGAAATGGTAATTCCGGATGAAGGGCCCGTTGCACATCTCAGGGGGGAGATGAGAAACCGCAGCACAAGAAAAGTCCAAGCTGGTTCTCTGCTTCCTTTGGATACTAGGCAACTAAGGAAGTTCCTCACCAAGTCAAAGGTACCCCAGACTAGTAAAGCCAGGACAATGAATTGTGGCTATTTGCTCACCTGGCTTTCAGAGCACGAGGTGATTGACCTAAGATTCTGAGTTCGTGTTCTAGGTTGGATTTGGTAAGCCGGCTTGCCAAGCACTTCGAGCCCATCACTTCCAACCGTGGATGGGACCGCACGCGGGTCCACTTGGAGCATTTTAGAAAGATGCGCGGTATGCTGGGCCATCATACTCACACCCTTTGCCTCGCTGTGCTGCAGGTAATCCCGGGTATGTCGAAACACGAAACTCTAATCACCTGATCAGGTCTACCGCTACATGAATCGCGGCTTATTCGAGCGTGACAAGATGATGTTCAAGTTCCATTCTTACAGAAGTTCTTCATGCAGTGAACACACTGGGTGGTTTCAACTTCCAACTGTTTGCAAAGCGATGTCGTTTTTTCGAGAGTAGCTTTGTCTGACGGATGCTGCAATATCAGAATCAGGTTAATGGTGGCGTTGAAGATTATGGTTGTGAACGGGGAGCTGTCCTGCACTTGGTCTGGCTCACATCCCGTGACATAGCCTGCATGGGGCATCTGTAAGGACGAGCGAGGATGTGCTGATCTTCTTGAAGGCTTTAAGTCATGCCTGTAGCCACTGCGTTTGGACGCCTACAACGGCAACACTTGCAGGGGAGTCTCTGGCTTGCAAAGCCGTCATCACCTTCCGCAGCTGTCCAGGCTGGTGGCTCCCTGGACAAGAACAACGAGCGCAGCAATCCCTTCATGAAGTGGATGGGCGAGAAGGTGCAAGAGGGGTGTGCCGCAGATTGCCACAGTTCGTTTGCGACATAAGATGCCAGAGAGCTACTACTACAAGTCATTCAATCCTACAACCGCTTCGCGCCGCTTCCGCCGTCCGCCTCGGCCCGGCTCTACACGCTGCGCTGAGCGGTAGGGTCTACTTGTGGGGTCTCTCTATAAAGGGGTGCATAGTGCATTGTGGGTATGGGCAAGGGATGCTAGGGACTGAGGCTTGGTATTTAGAGATTTAGCGAACCCTTGGATTCAAATTGGTGCCCTGTTAGAGGGGTGGCTGAGGAGCTAGTCGGCGTAGGAGGTATGGCCAAAAAAAAATTCGAGTCTGGGGGTCCCTTTAGAGCGGGTGGCAGGGGAGTAAGGGCCAGGGAGATTTAAGGTGTGCGGTGTTCTAGGCAGACAATTTTGGCGCGGTGCAACTGGCCCGCTAGTGCCTAGCGGAGCTAACGTTGCCCGTGCAATTCGAGATGCTTTCGAATTTGTCAGGATGTGCCTGCTCACCATTCTTGACAGCAGCATCAGTCGCTTAAGCTTATCCGCATGCACTGTACCGGTAATTGTAACATGGATGTAATGCTGATTTAACCGCTCACGCAGGACTGCCTCGGCAAGGGCAGATGAGATCTGCAGCCCGACAAACACTCTTGCAAACCCATCCCCCCCAAGAAGTCTCAGTTGCTTGAAGTATCTTCTGCATTTTGTGCCGCAGGATCACAGGCGATGTGAACGACGCCGCCAGTCGTGTTCTGCGAGATCGAAGCCCACCCTCCGCACCCCCGTGCCCCACAGAAAACCCAAAAAAGAAAAAAGCCGATCGGACTGTGCTGGGAGGAAGGGTTAACTCACTCTCCTATTCTTCAAACCTGGATCTAAATGCCCCACCATGCCCCACCCCTCCGGCCTCAGCCGGTCTAGGTTCTAGATAATGGGGCTAGCTTGATGGCAGTACTGTGAAAGGCTCCCGCGTTCAGCTGGCACTCAGTCCATTTCGGTTGCGCACAGGATTGCACGCGATGCCACGGAATCACACAAGATTGCGCAAGATCGTACTTTCGAGATTGCATGGCGAAGTCCAGACTTCGGGGGCTCCGATGCGTGGAATTGATATTAACTCCTGGGCCTTCCAGGGCCGCTGGGAAAACTTCCAGGGGGCATTGAGCGAGAGTGCAACCCTATAATCCCCCGGTCTCAACAAGCAGAACACCAGGCTTGAGGCCCTAGACCCTTCAATCCTAAGCCCTTTTTCCACGGAACCCTCGAGCCCTCGAACACCCAGCACATACACCCAGGTCTCGCCAGGTCGAAAAGCAATAACGATTATCGGCTTTGGTGAGTGGATCTCGGATTTCTTAGACGCGTTGGCATGTGCAAAAGCCCCTCCCTTCATGATACACCCCCAGTGACAAACAAACACGTTTATATGATGATATTCTATTGAAAATGCTAAATGCGGCAGTGGATTTTTCGTTTGGAAGGGGTTCGAGAGTTTTTCAGGAACCTCAGTGGGTGCATAAATGGGGTATCCATTTCAGATGGCCATTGCTAAAAGTATTTCCATACAGAACGGCTTGTTTGGCCCACAGGCAACCTCTTCAAGCAGTAAGAAGAACCCAGTTTCAACGGCAGTTTTGCCAGAGAATCCTCGGTACCGTTGAAGCTCGAAGAAAAAGCAAATTGGCAACTGTGGAAGTAAAAGTAGTTGCCAGCCTGATGCCCTTATAATCCCTGTATAGTTCGAGCATCATATACCCATGACCAGTTCTGATTATTTAGACCCCTACATAGCCCACATAAACTCAATTTCCATCTCGTTTTCTATTTCATTTTTGTTTGATTCCCCACCATTGAAAAAGTGGAGCCCTTAATATTACACTATTACCCATACTGAAGACTGTTAGTGGGTGGGGCCAGGCCCCGACTCCCCCATACCGTACATGGCCCCTGAATTTCGGAGCTGAGTTGGAAACCTTCCTTCGCTGGGACCAAGCATGCAGATGGGATATGGTACCATATCAGCGCCCCCAGCAGAACCTGGGAAAGGTAAGAAGGGAAACGCGACGAAAGGAACATACCAGTGCAGCGTAACACATGCACAGTCTGGCGAGGAACGAAATCAGAGTGCTAATTGAGCGGGTTGACGAACACACGTTTCTCAGGTCGAGTTCAGCCTCAGCTTGTGGGTGCCTTGGGGCAAACAGGGGATTTTTTTAGACGTGCTTGAACAACTGCGCGGTATTTCAGATGGTTCCACGTTGCTGAACGCAATGTAGACTAATCCTGTGGCCTTGGGCTACTTCTATTGCTTGTATCTCCTCAGCTTCATCATGCCCTGGCTTTTCATCCCGGATCACCCGTGAGTGCTTGAGTTTCTGTCCTGGAGGTCGTTGCTTCTAATGCTTAAAGAAGTGTTGGGACAGGATTTGGCAGTTGTATGTCCCGGCCGCCATCCAGGTGTGGGCAGGTAGGGGGGTGGTCCTTCTGAAGCTTTGGCCCGAAAAGCAAACGAGTTGGTGCTCGCGTACCCACTGGCCCTGCATGTCCCTTTGCTGGGCTGAACGGCAGGGCAAAGGCTTGGAAGCATCCACGCCCACGCTTTGCCCCAAGAAGCTTACGCCCCCGTCCGAAGCCAGGCAAATTTAGGGCCTGCGGCACTGGCCGGCCTGGCCGCCGCCCCCTTGCCCACCCAGCTCTTGTTACCTGGAATCTTTTTTTAGGTTTGAAGACCCTGTTCTCTCTAGTTAAACTGAAAGCGGCCAAAAGTGGGGTCCCAATTGTGCTCACGATGTTCCTGTACGAGGCGCGCGCGCGCGCGTGCGCCTCGCACAGGAACATCAGCTGCACAA